CTCCTTGCAAGAAGAAGCGATGGAGACCAGGCAATCGTTGTAAACACGAACCAAGGGTTTGAATTCTGATTACGTGGCCACAAAATCGCAGGAGTCGTCAGTGCAACCAATGGTATTTAAGTCTCTCTTTTTTTTCAGTGACAGTTTAACTTTGACCGGTCACTAAATGTAGTGAAAAGTAAAGTCCTACACTTAGGCAAGAAAAACCAAAAGTACAGACATATAGACTGGGTGAAACCAGATTTCTTCATAACAGGAACTGGGAGAGGGATCTTGGAGTCTTAGTGAACAACCAGCTAAATAGGAGCCAGCCGTGTGCAGCAGCAGCCAAAAAAGCCAATGCAATCCTAAGTTGCATTAACAAAGAGATACAATCAAGATCAAGGAAGGTACTAATAGCACTCTATAAAGCCTTAGTAAGACCACACCTAGAGTACTGCATCCAATTTTGGTCACCACACTATTAAAAAAGATGTGGAGAAAAAGTGAAGAGCAACCAGGATGATGCGGGTTGAAGAACGGTTGCAGGAACTGGGCCTGGCTAGTCTAGTGAAGAGAAGGACCAGGGGAGACAGGACAGCATCTTCCAATATTTGAGGGGCTGCCACAGGGAGGAAGGGGTCAAGTTATTTTCTAAAGCACCTGAAGGCCAGACAAGGAATAATGGATGGAAACTGAACAAGGAGAGATTCAACTTGGAAATAAGGAGAAATTTTCTGACAGTGAGAACAATCAACCCGTGGAACAGAAGTTGCCTTCAGAAGTTGTGGGAGCTTCATCCCTGGAGGCCTTCAAGAAGAGACTGGACTGCCATCTGTCAGAAATGGTGTAGGGCCTCCCGCTTGGGCAGGGGGTTGGACTAGATGACTATAAGGTCCCTTCCAACTCCGATTATCTGATCTAAATGATCTGTTGTAAATCGAGGACTACCTCTACTGTACTATTTCCCTTCGGAGGGGTTGCAGGACGAATGTTGGATGGCAAAGCTTGGATTGACATTGGAAGGGTGCAGCTCGGAGCCCCAGCCTCTGAGTCAGCAGAGCCTTGAGCTGGTGCCAGCCTCTCCCAGGCTGGGCAAAGGAAAAAATAAAATAAAATTTGCATTCTTTTTCTCTCCGTCGGAAAAAAATAGGCGTTCCCTGGCTCCAATCACGGGCATGGGGGCAAAACACGGCCTCTCCTCTCCCCCTCCGTTGGCCTGGAAAAAGGAGGTGGAGTGGGTAGAGCAACGCTTAGATTTTTCCCCCCTTCCGGTTCCTGCAAATGCCTTTGGGCCATATTATTTTTGGTACAGCCCAGAAACATGATTTTCAGCTGATTTCAAGGCCTGGCCTTGGCAGGGTTTGGGCTATTCATGATCTGAAATGCAAAGGGAAACCCTCCAAAATTCCCAGCATTTTAAAAAGCTGCAGCAGCCTTGAATATGTACCAGCGAGAAACCAAAGAGCTTTTCCAAATGCACCAGCCTAACTCAGCTGTATTTCTATCGATCATTTGCAGTTTGTATTCCCTCCACGCTGCCTTTCCAATTCTTCGATTTTCTGGCAAAGTTCCTCTAACCAGTTGCAAGGAATTGATATGTATTCACCATTGGTAAATAGAAGAAATGCTAGTCAAGAAACGTCCAGGGACATTTTGAACTAAGACTAGAGACTTTAGGTATTAGGTACAATAACAGGAAAATATGATAAGGAAACAGAATAGCTAAGGCTGTATTAATTAACAGCGGCAAGAATGATTTTGATCACACAAAATTGGAAAAAAGGATAGTAGGCCACTAGAGGAAGATGTGATAAAGAAGATATTAGGGTGTGCCGAGATGGAAAAGCTGACCAAGGAGACAAAAGATAAGAGAAGAAATGGATTATTACTTGATGTGGAATGCATTGTATGATTGGCTATATAATAGATATAGAGATGAATAGAGAATAGGACAATACGACAAAAGGCAAACGTTGTAGTGCAGTGATAGGCAAACCTTTTTGTTGTGGCAGCCTGCCCCTCTGCGCATGCGTGTTCAACACCCCGCCTTGTTCCCTTACCTGCACTGCGCATGCGTGCGCCTCCCAGCTGGTTTTCGGCCCATTTGGGGCCTTTTTCACCTTACCGGAGGCTCAAGGAAAGCCTCTGCAGCCTCGGGAGGCCGAAAAACGGGCCTACCGGAAGTGCCCGTTTTCAGCCTCTGGAGCCCAGGGGAGGCCAAGCCTCGGGAGGCTGAAAACAGGCCCATTTTGGCACTTACGGTATTTCCGGAAGGCCCATTTTTCGGCCTCCCGAGGCTGTAAAAGCTTCCCTTGAGCCTTTGGGAAAGCGAAAAAGGCCTCAAACGGGCCAAAAATCAGCTGTGAGGCACATGCATGCGCAGTGCAGGCTAGTTTCACTGGGACTCAGGTGCCCACAGAACATGAGTGCCTGGCGGGGGGCGAGGGGGTGTTTCTGCCGTACCTTCCTGGTGAGACTGAAAGGTCCAAATGCACATTTGGGATTAGGAACAGAACCAGAACGTGCCAGCCCCTGTCCTGCAGCTCTGCCCCACATGCATGGAGCGGAAGATGGGAAAAACATAAAAGGGAAACATCCAGGGCTTTCCTGTTCCCTGCTGTCTTGTGTATGTTGGATAGGGAAAAAAACCCCTTTCTGACAGAAAAAGAAAAAAGGAAAGGAAAGGAAAGGAAAGGAAAGGAAAGGAAAGGAAAGGAA